AGAAATGTGCCCTTCCCCGGAAGTCAGCCCAGATTTCTCAAATGCAAGACTTTATTTCTAAAGGGATGACAAAGGGAATAGGAATGCTGTTTTCCCCTAATACCACCACAGAGGTGAGGGACATGCCCACCAAGACGCTACATTACCAGCAAGCCCTTGGCTGGATGGAATTTTCCCAAACCTTGGTTACACTTGTTTCTACCCTTGTACCACTGGTGAGGGAAAACAAGTGACCAAATTGGCCATTGTCAGAAGAGGAAACCCCATTAGAGATGAGGCTCTGTTTCTCAGGACCCCATAGGGCTGTGATTGTCTGGGCTGCCCACTCCAGGCCCTTTATGAGTCCAATCTCAGCCTTCTCCCCCACTCACATCTACAACCCCAAATGAAAAGCCCCTCTGACAGAACAGTTCCACGGGTCCTGGCCCTGAACCCAGACTGCTTTACTGGTTCTAGGCAAACTAGCAGCAAGAAGGGTACACAAGTTTTTAAGGAGCACTCCCTATGTACCTGGGAGTGGAGAGAGAGGAAGAATTCCACCCAGACTTCACGCCCAAGGAGTTCACGGGTTAGTTGATGGGGGAAGACACACCCAGTATGGTATGTACTGTGGTAAGAGGAGAGAGGGTGTGTGCCCAGAAGGCACCCGCAGGGACCAGAAAGTCTTCCTGAAGGAAAAGGATCTCGGCTGAGGTGGGAAACATGAGGAGAAATTAGCTCAGCAACAAGGACCTGGAGCAAGGAGAGGAGAGGATGTCCGAGGCAGAGGACTAGCCAGGCAAAGACTTCATAGCAGGAAGATGCTAGGGAGTTGGGCAAGAGGCAGAAGTGAGAACCTGAAGGGTCCTGGAAGTGGGTGGGTGCCACCACCAGGACTTTATCCCCAGACCATTGAGGCTCCATTAGAAGCATTTCAATTGCAAGAGTTGCTCAGGCTGCTCAGCTAGGCCATGGCTCAGCACTTCTCAGGATTTTGAGGTGTACAAAGGAATTTAAGACTTAGGTCCTGCCTCTAAGAAGTTCATGGCTTCAATGGACAGTCACGTGGACTGAGCCGAGTACTAGTCAAGTGTGCATGGTGCTCTCGTGGCACATATGCTAAGACTTGGAGGCAGAGTGCCCAATATGTTAGGGTCTGCCTTGAGGCCCTAATATCTGAATCTCATGTCATCGTCAAGGCCACCTTAGGGCACCTATCAGGACCCTCATGTAACAGATGGAAAGAGGGCAGCTCAAATAAATTGCTTTCACAGTGCCATAGAGCCAGGAAGGGCAGGGCTGGCACAAGAGGGCCATCTTCCTATGCTGTGCAGCCTCTCTTGCGTCTGGGCCAAACAGAGGGAAAGGATCCTCTGAAGGCAGAAGGTCGAAGAGTGAGAGGGCTACTCCAGCTATACAGTGTGAGCTAAGAGTCTGGGCTTACACATTAAGGGGGGAATCGAGGGTGACTGAAGAATCATGTACACAGATAAAGCCTCTGAATTTGCCCCTCGGAGCCTTGAAGTCATCTTGTGCCTGCTTTAGTAGGGGGACAGCTGTCTTGCAAAGAATAAAAGTGGTGAACAAAGGATATAATCCCTTGTCCTCTCTGAGTTGAAGATGCTATGTGGTCTCCATGCTATAATAAGGAGTGGGGTTTCCCAGTAATATTTGCCTTAGAAAACCTCCGATGCCTCTTAAATTAATAGTCATATTTATACTTAGTGGGGATGTTGGTTATTTGAATTGGTGATCATAAATGACAATCACCTGGAATGTATGTAAGGAAAATAGGGCCAGTGCCAGATTGCGGAGAGATGGGTGGGCCACATATGTTCTGTAGAACTCTTAAGGAATGGCACACTCACTCAAATGCCATAGATGATTCTGGAAAACCTGAAAAGCTGAGAGCTAAATGAGATGTATCTTCAGCTAGTCCACTATGGTCATCTAGAGGTCATCTGGGAATGACGTCCCTCACTGTGTTGACTGAGCCTAGTTCCCTGGTACACAATGAGTTGTGAAATTTAGAAATCCTATGGAATCCAGCTCCGTCAATATTCTCAGTTGACCTAAGGAAATGGAACAAGTTTCCATGACTAATGGACACTAAATGACTAAAATGTGAAGCACAAACAAGTAAGGGAGAGTAGTGCCAGAGAGTTTACAGATTAACTGAGGCTCTCTGTACACATCTCCCCCTCTGTAGTCCTAGTGAATAGTAGCCGGGAGAGGTGAACCAGTCCCTGACAGTGCAGGTGATGGACAGGCCCCATCGTTGCTGATTTCACCAGCTGACTCTCTCTCCTGCTCCGTTCCTTTGCTCTCTTCACCCAACTCCCCCTGGTGCCCACAGCCTGGTCCCTTCCCACCTCCTTCCCTCATGGAGGATGCCTCCTCCCCACCCCACTCTCATTCCATAATCCTTTCCCCAGTAAACCAGGCCCATACCCTGAAGCCCCTCCCCCATCAAAGTCAACCTGTCCCTCCTTTGATAGAGATCTTCAGAAGAAGCGACACCACACCCTTTCCCCAGGTGCCTGCACTCCCCTGTCTGATATGCGTCACCATGGGGATGGGCTTTGTTGTTCCTCTCTGAAGTCCCTCTCCATGGGGGCTCCCCTTTTCCTCTTGCTCTGTAGATACTGGAGATGGAGAACAGATAGCCTTCTTGCTGGGGTCACCAAGACGAGTAACCACTCCTTGGCTTTCTCATCTCAAGGGCCAATGCAGGTCTCTCAGGAGCAGGCCCTGTTCCCATCCCCTGGGCTTTCTGTGTCTCCCTTCTGTTCTCCTTCCAAGGCCTAGGTCTCTAATGCCTGCTGGAAGACATGGCACCAGCCCAGAGAGAAGGTGCCAAGCAAGCAGCACTGCTAGGTGCTGAAAGGCTGGGAAGATTAGCTCACCTCTACTTCATGCTGCCTGACTGATTCTGATCTCCATCTCATGCCATTTGAGCAGATTCCCTGCCGAGCTCACCAGTCCATGTCACCCACTGTCTCCCACACCACGGCCCTCGCTCACCCTGCCTGCCAACTGGCAACCATTTCTGGCTTTGTGTTAGCTAGCAGCTTGACCTAAATGTCTGCTGGTTGAACTTGACCTTTGTTGTATTTCCTTCTTCTCTAATGTTGGGATTTCCAGACATTCAGCACCAGGAGAGGCATCATGCTGAGGCCTGGAGCTGTCTGCTCTGCTCTCAACCAGCTGGGTGACTCTGAGCATGTCACTGGACCTCTTTGAGCCACATGTTGCCTATTCTGTGAAGTCCAGATAATAATGCCTGCACTGCCAAGGGTCAAATAAGCACAGGAATGTGAAGGCACTTCCCAAACCAGGTTCTGTAGAACTGTGCTCTCAGCATAGGTTATTGAGCTATCCTGAAAAAGGAAAGAAAGAAGGTGTGGGGGAGAGAAAGAAATAGGAAACAAACAAAGCCAGGCAGCAGGCAGACAGGGAAGAAGGAAGGAAAAGGAAGGAAGGGAAAAACGAGGAAAGGCTTGAGGAAGACTGGCCTAGGTAAAGCAAACCAGGTTTCCTGACTTGATGCCTCAGTGTCTTTGTTTGCCAGTTTAAATGGCAGATCTTCAAAAGCAGTATAAACAGTATGACTCTGTCTTCAAACCACTTTTTTTCACAGACTTAACTAGCTTACTAACTCCATATTGGTTACTGGTTTCTATTGAACATAAGGTGCATTAATGTAATTTCTTCTACAAATAATCCACAAGATTTATTCCATCATCCAGGTCACTAATTCCAGGTTTACACCAATTAATCAAAGTCTGAAAAAGTATTGTCAGGCTCTTTCAGTTTCCTCAGCACGGTGCTATTGTGTACCTGGGGGAGAGATGACCTGGGGCTGATGGTCTCTGCAGTCAGACTCCATCCTGACTTCTCACCATCTCCCGGGCAGCTTGGCAAGCTCATTGTCCTGTGTATACATCTTTTGTGTTCCTGTCCCCCACCTTTGTCCCATCTACCTTCCTGCCAAGGCACTCTCTCCCAATTCCAACTCATTCTTCAAGTTTCAGCCAAGCCCTGATTTCTCCACGGCCGTTTTTCTAACCATTGTAGTGTGTTCTAGAAAGAACACAGGCTTCCAATTCAACAGTAAGCACCAAAAGGCAAGGGCATCATTTATACTTCCTGATTTCTCAAAAACACAAGATTTATTTGATTGCTGCCCTTTAATCCCCACAGAAAATAAGGCCTCATGGGAAGCTTGAACCTCTAACTAGGTCCTTCTGAGCTGGAGCGTCTGTGCTGTCCCTTCATTTAGCAGATTCTTGTCACAGAGGGCAAAACGCTGGGAACCCAAGGTCAAACAAGACAATGCCCCTGACTTTAAGAAGCTGGCTGTCTACAGGAAAGCACAGTCGATTGCAAGTCAGTATGTTGAGTGTGATAGTAGAAATAATGTGGGCACACAAAATAGGGTCCATGGGGAAAGCAGGGGTTATCAAGGCAGTCTTCCTAGAAGATGGTCCCACCCCAGCCCACCCGCCTACCTATAGGGAAGGTGTCATAGGACAGCACAGCTAGGTTATAGGGGTGTATATATCTAGAAAGGAGAGAGGCCACTGGAGTCTCTGTGGGAGGGGGGAGTTGATCCTGTTCCCTGGGTCACAGAGAGGAAAGTTTTGATGTAGCCAGAGAGGTTCGGGCAGATGCTGGAAGAGGGGTGTGTGAGATGGAGTTTTCATCCAACTATCCCAAGCACACACACATACACACACACCCACACACAACCTGTGGATATCCCACTTCCCTGCTTTTCCATCATACCCCTCACCTCTTCTTCCTTCTCACCTGGACCATTCTTCCTCTCCAAGTCTGGTGTCACCTGCTGGTCCTGGGGCCATCCATCGTTAGCTCATCAGATAAGCTCTGTGTCTGCTCTCAGTAGTAGCTAGAGGCCTGCTTTGGTGAGAGGCTGGTCAGCACGATGCCCACTCCCTGTGGGGGGCCCTGGGGAAAAGGCCAGGTTTGAGTCAGTGTTTGCCCTTTTCTCCCCACAGAAAACGAAAAGAGACGTCAATAACTTTGACCAAGACTTTACCCGGGAAGAGCCAGTTCTCACGCTCGTGGATGAAGCGATTGTGAAGCAGATCAACCAGGAGGAATTCAAAGGTTTCTCTTACTTTGGTGAAGACCTGATGCCCTGAGAAGCTGCTCCAGGTGGAGTTTGGTGGTGCTGCAAGAAGGGGTGCCGAGATTCCGATTTCCAGAGGCTCACAAGGTCTTGAACTACTTCTCCTCCCCAGCCCCAGTCCCCTTCCACACTCTATTTATTGCATTCCCTGACCTCTGGCCAGTCCCTCCTTCCCTCTACCCGGTGAACCAGAAGGCACTCTTTGTTCTTGTCTCACGAATGATGCAGAATCACGTGGGGTTAGCAGTTCGCAGGACACACTGCCGTGCTTGGTCTGTTGGTGAGCCACGTTCCTCTCCTGGAGGTGCCTGGCAGTGAAGCAACTTCAGTTCTTTCACTGTGAAGAGAGAAAAAAGTAAACAAGATGACTCCGCCTCTACTATTGGACAGAGAGTCCCAGCCGCTGTCATGTATCACCTCCTGACACCCCTCTACCCCCACCGTCACCTGCCACCCTCTGCCTTTCTGTCCAAGAGAAGAGACTGGTGCTTCCTCGGCATGGGGTGGGCACTCTGGAGTCCTGCCTGTGAAGGAGAGGAACTGAGAGGTGCACGGGTGGCCACTGTTCTGGTTTGCTCTGGAACAGCTAATTCTTGCTTGCTTTGGTCTTAGCTGTCGGGCATGCCGAAGTCGTGTAAGCATGCATCTCGTGGAAGAGATCGCTCCTTGTAGAAAAAGAAATTTGATTTTGAACTCTGCTAACATTTTAAAAATATATATATTTTCAAATTTGCTTTCTAATTGGCCAAAAGATATAAAATTCAATATTAACCGCAGGTAGATATTAAAGGGCTAATATACAATGAAAACCGGTTGTCCACAGCTGCGGTGTGATGCTCTCATGGCACACGGGCTTGTTTGAAGCAAGAGGAGTGAAACAAGTCACCGCCTCATTATCTTGGTTCCACCTGAACACAAAGGCCACTGCCGTGATGGCTAAGACCCTGGGGTTCCAGCCAAATTTGGCTCTCAAATTCTCTTTCCAGTTTCATCCTAAGTTCCCAGCATAAACTCGCATTATTTATTTTATGCAACAGTGTGTTCTTTTTGCGCACTTCTACAAAATGATAGTACTACTGTGTTGTGGTTTTTAAACATTAAACATGTAAAGTTAAAGGTGAATTGTCTGTTTTCGGAATGAGCAGAATGAGGATAAGACCTGGGTTTTCCAGAGGACACCAAGAGACCGAAGAGCAGCTTGCTTGAAAACTGAAAACAGTAGGGCAAGAAGCCGTGGGACTTTGGTTTCTGTGTGACATGCAATGGCAACTCCTATGGACACTACTTAATGGGTGTGACGTTACCTCCTGCAGATACGCTAACAGTGTTGCATTCTTTGATTTCCAAGGGTTCTCTGTGGCTTTGTGTGTATGTTTCCTGGAGGTCATTTGATTATCTATTTTAACTGAACTGATTTAGCAGGGAATGGAATCCATTCCAACTGTTGCACGTGGATTTCCCAGCTGCCCCTAAATATATATACTTGTGAGTGGCAAAGTGGCACTAAAGAAGCTTTTTGCCTTTTGTACATTTGAGATTTTTGTATATAGTGTTTGCTGCAAGGCCTGTGGAATTAATTCATTGACTTTAGAGGTATCAACTGCTGCATGTTCAGGCATATTATAAAACTTTAGTCTATGAAAGAATAATTATAATAATGTCCAGGTGCAATACTCTGTAAGTGTATTGGTTCAAGTTACCGAGAGATAAAGTGTGTTATTTTCTTTCTTGGTTTCTTTTATTTTGGGGGTGGGGGGAAGGATCCTTTGTAATGTTAATTTCATTTTGGTTTATTGTAAAAGATGTAAACATATATTAAGCTATATTAAATCTCACCTATCGTTCTCCTGTGCTCTATTATGCTCTGATAGAGATGGAGAAGAGAAAGGAATATTTTTGATGGTTTCAAAGCTTCGACAGTGACTAGCTGGAGGCCCGGGAGAGCGGGTGTCCATATGGGCATCTGGCTGGTCATAGCCTCTGTGGCTAATGATGGCATTTGGTTCTCTTTTGTTTTTATTTTTTAAAAACTCAGGTGTAATTATTATCTGTTCTTATGATAATTTCAACCATTATGCTCTATCAATTTGTGTTTGGCATACCAGTGAAGTGATGAAGAACAGTGGATTAATTTAATTTATCTTTGGTAACTTGACTGTACTGGGGAGAGACTTATCTTCTGGAGTTGAGTACAAGCACAGAAACATCTTCATGGTGGTATCATCTCATTTTTTAGGACGACATGACAATACTGCCCATCAAACCCATGTATCACTACTGCTCTCTGTTATTCCTTCTGCTTCCTTCACCATGAACTTCAAGCAGCCAAGCAAACCCTAATTGCAATGCCTAATGATCATGCCCAAGAGCTTGGTTGGTGTTCCCATGTCAGCAGGGCTTGGGCCCTTTCTACAGACAACTGACACTTTTTATGCTGGGGAGTCAAATAATAATACATTCCACCTAGCAGCTCCAGACAGTCAGTCAGCAGGTCACCTTGCCCATGGCTGTGTCCTTCCAGGACCAGGACCTGCTGCCAGGGTGCCTCCTGCTTGCCACTAGAGCTCATCAAGTTCTCAGACAGGCAGATTCAAACCCGTGTCTACGGAAAAAAGCTTGTGTGTTCGAGTATTCATTGTTTCATTCTAGTTTTCACCAGTTTGGAAGCGGACACACTGTTACATTTCTGCTGATTCTTTCAAATCTTTCCAGCACTCTTTTTTTTTTTTTAACGAAAAAAAAAAGTGCAAAAAAATGCCAAAAAAAGATATATATATGAAGGATAGCTGTTTTCCTGTGTTCTTTTGTTACGGACTTTGTGAAGTAGAAACATAATTTTTTCCTCCAAAGGTGAAAAAAAATGTATTCTTGCTTTAAAAACAAAAAAAAAGAAGGCTAAAAAATTACCTCTTTTTAAATTATGTGCAAAATAATTCTGGCTAAATATAAAATCTATTCAATTTTAGGGATTTTTTTTGTATTGTGATGCTTTATTTGTACTTTTTTTCCTTTCTGGGTGTAATTTTAATCTCTTGCCATTCATTAGTGTTATTTCATTGTAAACATTATTGTGCCAAATGTACTGTATTCAAAAGGATGTGAATGTGTATTGTTACAAAACCTAATAAATACAATGACCGTTAAGTCTTATTTCTCAGTCCCAGTGAGATTTTGTATCTCCTTTCTGAGTGGTAGCATGGCGACCATAAAAGGTTTTGCCTTTTGTACAGCAGCAATTCCAAAATCCCCGGGCCCAGACACACTTCTAACTTCCCCTTGCCTTCTGTGCACATGGTGTGCAAATGCCACATTTGCAGGCCGTCCTTGCCCACCCCTGCATGGGCCGTGTGCTTCAGGACTGTCACCCAACGGGATGAAGGGGGGCTGAGGAGAGGGGAGGTGGCTCTGGGCTGTCTTGGCAAAACATCCCCTCTACCTGGGAATGACGGGAGGTTGGCAAGCAAAGCAGACAATCTCTTGTTTTTTGTCTTCCCATAGAAGCACATGCTGGATCCAGTGCCCATTCAAGCCTCTGCAGGACTCAGACTCTGACCAGCTGTTTCGAATTTTTGAAGTCCAAGAAACTTCCAGTCTGGGAGCCCTTTGCACGCTGGCCTGTGGGACTCTGGCCTTAGCCTGTGCCTCCACTCAGCCACTCAGCCCATGTTCCTCTGGGGTCTCCAGATTTCTCCTTTGCTCTGAGTTTCTCCTTTGCTCTGAGGTTTCTCTATTCATCGCTCCTGCTTCTATATGGTTCTTCCTCTTCTTTCTCTAACGCAGATTTCTCAAGAATGTTTGTAAGTCAAAAATACACTGTTGAGTAAGCGGAAATTTCAATTAGTCAAAACTCCTTGTTCCTTAAGAGTTATGAGAACGATTGCACTTTTGCTCTTTGCTGTCCTAAGGGGAAGGGGTGGCTTCATTTGTCACCACATCGATCCACAAGCTCACTTCTTCATAAGTGCCCCAAATGTCCTTGGTATAGCACCCTGAAAATCCTCCCCTCTCACATGTTCCTCCTCTCAGCAGTGCCAACTGACTTCCCAGGGATGGGAGCATGACCTCCACACCACCCCAGGAAGAAGGTTGTGTTTATCCCACTCAGCTGTATCTGATTCGCTCAACTGTTTCTAGGTAAGTGACCATCCCAGAGTGGCAAGCTGCCCGCCAGCTTCTCTATGTCTTAGGAATTTAAAAAAGAATGATAGACACAAATTAAAAGGAGCCGTTCAAGGAAGGTTAAAAGAAATTTCCAAGCATGTCACTGGATGAAATAGAATCCATCTGAACCCCCTTGCCTCATGGTCCAGAAGTCCTGGAGGTGAGAAAACGTCGTCCCACATTGATGTGCTTCAAACCTCTCAGTGAAGCTGCAGGAGAAGTCATTGCTGATCAGTGTCTCTGCCCTGGAACCCCTTCCCTGCCTCCAGCCATGTTCAGGGGAGAAAGCCAGGCAGTGGCAGGTTTCTCCTAGGGAAGCCCCTGGCCCCTGATGGTGGTGAGGTGGCTCCCGGGCTGCTTCAGGAAGGCGGTCCTTCCTGTAGGCTCCTGAGCTGAGAATCAGCAGGTCTGATCCATTTCTTGCAGGAGCCTTCTAGGGGAAGATTGCCTCTGCCTTGTGTCCTTGTACCTGAGTGTAGTCTAGTGCTGCTTGGGTGACCAGCTGCCAGAAGCTCCCTGTGCACTAAAATTACTGAACAGCAAGGCAGATGTTGACATAGAACTTGCAGAAGGCAGAAAGTGAAAAAGAGGCCTCAAAAGGCATGTGATGGAGTCTTTTTTTTTTTAATTATTTTAGCCTGCACAATGACACACGTTTGTGGTCTATTAGTTGTCAGCTACACCTGAAGGATGATCAGCTGTGCTCATCAGGATTCCCCCTTCACAGCTAGACTGAATAAACAGTGCTTGTTCAGAAGGCTACTGTGTATGTTTAGTCTCACATGTCTCCCATCAACACTTGGAGGCTTTATTATTAGCATAAAGTCATCTTGGAAAGGATTTTTCTCAAGTAAAGTGACCCTTTGAGGAATTAGTGAGACGTACCCAGTGCAGAAGAGCAGTGAAAAGCAGACAAGAGGAACCAAAGAAGTCCTGCAGATGATACTGAGGAATGCCAGAGAGAGGGGTTAGGCTTGCATTATCCAGGCAGGCTTCCTGGAAGAGGCAGTGGTGAGAACACTGAAGGATGGGGGGGATGTGGGTAGGCAAGGAGCAAAGGCAGTCTTCTGGGTAGCCACTCAGCATGGAGGGCGGGGGGATGAGATCCAGGGTGGCAATGGCCTTCAGTATCTTTGCTCAACATGAGATTGCCTCAGGCCACGGGACTCTTCTAAAGAGAGTTTATGATCTCTCTTTTTATGATCTCTGCTGGTGGGATGATTTCTGAGGGAGCCTAAACCCCCACCTCCTTTCAACAGAGGGCACCCATGATGTTTCCTTACTGTAATTCCACAGGGTTATATCCATGCTGCTCTGAGAGGAGCGATCAGGCCAATCTCAGCCAGACCCCAAATGCCAAGTAGACAATGAAATGCTCCTTCTCAGGCCGCTGCACTTTGGAACAGGCAGCTGCCTGTTGGCAGCCTGGAGAGGCTCTGGGAAGGCTTCTTCCCAGACACCAATGCTGAGTCCCACCAGACATGCTTCTTCTTCAGGTTTGATCATCTAAACTCAACATTTGTTCTCTTCTTTGTTTCCAGCACTGTGCTGAGCATGTCACACCAGGAATTTATGCAAACTTCATAAAAACCACAAGAAGTAGATACTCCAGTTTTCCCCAGGCTCGGGCATGATACTGCTTATTTAGTGTTCAGTCTCTTGAGACCATTGTACTCTTTAGTCTACAGATAAAAAGGTAAATTTGCCCAAATTCCCAGACCCAGGGACAGGTGAGGTTGATTCTGAAAGGACAGAAAGTGCTTACACACAAAATAGGTGACAAGGAATTACTCTATTCACTCATTTAATCCACAGTTTATTCCAAATTTTCAAAGGTTCCTCCTGTGAACCAGTGGCTCATCTTGATGCCAGCAAACATACCGAAAAGCCCTATGTGGGGTTGGAGTATTGACAGGCAACAAGCAGTAAATGTGAACATTAGGTAAATTATACAACATGTTAGATGACTCGGCCACCACTGACACTTGAAGGCCATGTTCAAATAAAAGTCCAGACATTTAGGCTACATATTTTTTCATGTAATACGTTTAGGCCTACCCCTTGACAAGGATACCTTTGTAACAACTTGGAAAGCCAGGTCTGGATTTAGAATACCCCAATTTCTGAGCATTTCTTCCTGGAACACAGCTCTCCGGAGAGAGCCAGGCCAGCCTGTGGCCCCCTTCTGGCACCCCCACTTCAGGTTTTGCCTCACACCTTTAGAACCACCCATTAGGCATGGCCAGGTCTGTCCTGACCAGCGTTATACATGCTAGGGGCCAGGTCACCCTGAGAAGACAGACTCAAGGACAGTCTGGTAGGGTCAGATAACGATCTTGGCTGTTTGTGCAGGGACTTTCGTGTCCTGAACACCCAGAGGGTGATCTAGAAGAGCAGAACACTGGCTCCTGGACTTTTGGGAAAAGGCAGCTTTTGGAGGAGGGGTGGACTGCCCAGGGTGGGAGCCCCTTCTGCTTGGGTACAAGATTGTACCAAGAAGAAAGCAGATGCCAGAGACAAGAAATAAAGCAAGATCAAGATGTCCAGCAAGGGAGGTAGGGGCCGCAGTGCCCAGAGCCTGACTGACTTTTCTATGTAACTAAGAGCTTCGTGGCCAAACCAGTGAATGTTCCCTCGCAGCTCCCAGCAGCATCCCAAAGAGCCCACTGGCAGGAGGCGGTGTGAGAACTGGGTAGGTCCTTCTGGGCGGGACAGGGGCTACAGAGAGGTCAGTCTGCTTCATTTTCCTGCTAGGGAGGCCCCATCATGTAGACGCTCCTTGGGGACTGTGATCCGGTTGCAGGTGGTCAGGGTGGTGGTTTTTCCTGGAGCAGAACAATGTGATTATGCAGTGACTGCCAGGCCTCCCCACCCCCTACCTCCCCTCGCTGGAGCTTCCTCCATCCTGCACAGCTCAGTTTTCCAAGGCGCTTCCTCCCAGGAATATGGAAATCCAGGGCAGCAGAGCTCGGCTCTGCCTCCACCCAACATATCTATGTTGAGGCATCTGGAAATTCTCACATCATTGCCAGATAGACTAAGTGGACCTCACTTCCACATACTTGTCCTGACAAAGAAGTATGGGAGACCAGGAGAGGGAATGAGAGACTCCTAAAATGGGGGAGAAAAGGGAGACAGGAGGGAGGAGGAGCCAGGGTCAGCAGGTGCACTGCCCCAGGGGAGGGAGTCCAGGCACCCTAAGCCTCCAGTGACTGCAGTTGTTCTATTGCAACGTGCTCCTGAGGCCCATGCTCGCAGTCCGTGTTCTGAGAACCTAAAGTGAGGACACAAGACAGCTGGGAAATCAGGGCGAGGTTTGGGTTGAAAGGACCTTCCCACTCCCCCTTTGGCCCTCCTCTTAGCCAAGACCAGCTCCTCCTCCAGAGCCAGCCCCTCCTTGAGGTAGGATTGTCCTGGCCAATATCCTCCTTAAAAAATGGGGTCCATGCTGAATGGCCCTTCTTTCCACTCCATCTGTCCCCACCCTAGTTGACCATGGGGCTGTGCAATGTGCATCTTGTGTGGATGTTGGGGAGACAGAAGAGGCTCCTGAGTGAACTCTGGCACAGAGGGGAAGAATAGGGTATAGATTGGC